GTGTTACTAGTTTCTTCTTCTCTTCAAACTTTGCATGGATGCATTTGCTGGACCATTCAGGAACTCCGATTGGTGTAGCACATGATGAGATCAGTTTGGATTTTGTGTTACTTGACAAATGAAGGATGAGGTGTGACCTATTCACAATATAGCAAAACAAAAAAAGCATAATTAGCACAGATGCAGCTAACTTCACTGCAAGTGTAAGACGAAAAAATTGCGGACAATGGTTGTAACTCAATATGCACTGTTGGACAGTAATATTTTGGCATCCATGTTGAATTTCCTTTATTTGTCAGGTATTTAATTGGCTGGATTTGCTAAAAACAGGCATTCCTAATCAGGTTATCTTTTAATAGATTTTGCAGAAAATTTGACTATACTAGACTATAAATATATTATCGCTATATACAGTACATACACCGATCAGTCATAACATTCAGTCCCTCCAGGATTTCGCTGGCCTTTTTTGTGATTATCGTGACTTAAGATGCATGATTTTGCAGCAGCTTTTCTAAAAAATTGCGATGAACGTTCCGATATTTGGGGGCAAAAAGTGAAAACTGCAAAGGTAGATGTGATATTTTTAACTTTAGAATTATAATTGAATCATTAAACAGTCGCTCCATGTGGTCCGATCCAATTACAACCAGCTTCTGTTGGTCAGATTGTTAAATAAGTTAATGCTGGTTCTGATAGAAAGGTGTCAGAACGCACAGTGCATACACAATGGATCCATTCCTCGACGGGTCCGGGCTGTTTGGCTGATTGTGATCGAGATTTTTACTTCCCACTGCCACTTTTCCTGCATTCGGACGGTGTGAACTGTTTTCCACTCTAGTTCAGACCAAATAAATGTGGTTATCAGATGAACATGAAGCAGAGCGAGGCTGAGCAAGAGCATTTCATGCTCAGTGGATAAAATGAGTCTCAGGTGTGGAAACACTACACATTTCAGATCTCACACTCTTAAGACACGGACCATATGCTCTCACCCTCATTACACCGTGTGTTAATTCTTTCCAGTGTGTTTCTTCCTGTGAATTGGTGATTTGATGAACAGCTCATTCAACAACGGAAAGTCTCATTGGCTGCCGGCACAGGTGGGCAGTCTTTGGTTTAGGCTCACTATGGTGGTGGTTAGATGTGATTATTCACCACACATACACACACACACACACACACACACACACACACACACACACACACACACACACACACTCACACACTAGCACAGTCTCTCAGTACGTTGATAATCCCTGGTGGTATGGATGAGTCGCCCTCATTGGTTGATCCCAGTCAGGTGGGTTGTGAATCTGTGTTGTGACTGGTTAATCCGGGACACGGCATTGGGCGGGATTTAGGTAGGTGTTAAATCGATGTGCTCTCAGGCGTGTCATTGTCTCAGCATTGTAGGGTTACCATGGCAATAACAGCCATCTGGCGCCAAATAGGGCTTTAGACATAGACTACGGGCTGACACACAAATGAGGGCTTTCAACAATGTAAACATTTGTGTCAGCCTGGTGTCATGCATCGTTATATTCCAACGAATAGGAATAGGACACTTTTACATGAAGCTTTTTTAGTGTTTTGTGTGTTTGTTTATGGCGGCTGTTTCTTTTATACTCAGTGTTAGTCCACTTTGTGCCCTTTTTTTCCACCCTGTGTGTGTTTAAGATTGTTCAAACACCACTGACTATCTGCTAAAGTTAACCTCCTCCCACTCACTGCCTCACTTCACACACACTTTGTAGTGTGAGTGATTCAGCCTGACCAATACATTGGTATGGCTGGTATTATTGGCCAAGTTTATTATTGGACTATACAGTAATGTTACACCACCAACATGCCAAAAATATGTTAGAAGGGTTTAGAAATTACAGTTTGTCTATCAGAGAGCACTGGCTAAAAATGTCACACTCTGTTTCAGGATTGATTAGGCTTGAATTTGGGTTTACTACATGCCTTTTACACATTTTTATCCAAAGCAATTTCTATATATGTCAGAGGTTGCACACCTCTGGAGCAACTAGGGGTTAAGTGTCTTGCCCAGAGACACATTTGAAGTGGGAATTGAACCCTGGTCTCTCACACCAAAAGCTTATGTCGTATCCACTGTTCCACCGCCACCCCACTTAGCACTGTGCTTTGTCAGTGAACTGGACTCAAATTGCAGCTAAAACATACAATACTTACAAAGATCACACTAGTGCACATTTACTGAATATAGAATACTTAATTATCTGTTTTTATCATGACATTACTGCTTGAAAACTGCTTGAATTGATATTTCAGGGCGTCTTTTAGTGGCATCTTTTCTAGCAGGAAATATACAAATTCCCAAGAAGAAATGCTAGAACACTTCATTACCAGAAACTGATGAAAAATGGTGTTGCTCAATCGGTTAACTCAGAGCATGTTGGTTTTATTATTTCAGCTTCCTATGAATGCACCACAGAGTATTTTAATATGCGTGTAAATGCCGCTGATGGGAACTGTGTTCTCATTACAATATTCATCCCATGAATCATAGTGAGATAATTGCTCATCAGAAAGGTGCCGTTGCAGTGTAAAGACAGCGTGCGCAGCTTTTTATCGTGTAGTTAATATAAGTCTGGTCCAGTCCGTCTGTGTAGCTGAATTGGCTTACTGTGGTCTCTAAGCCAGCTAACGCCCATCCACCTGCTGTCTGATAGGGTTATATCAACACAGGGTTAGGGCTGCTCAGGTCAAAGTTCAGGAAGATTTCCTTCAGATGTAAAAACCCCTTTACAACACATGTTGATGGGTGTAATGTTTTTGTACTCTGGTCTGCATATGATGCCTGCTGTCCATAAACCCCTTTATCCCCACAGTGTTTTTATTATGCCTCTGCTGGGAACTGACTCTCGTACATGTATTTCATTAGGCTTTTACCAGGTGATTTATCATGAATGCTAGTGGAAGTGCATAACATGCAATTCCACTAAGTTTAGAGCGTGCTACAGCCACGGCAGCTTGGATAAAGAAGTTACCAGTGGCTATTTTTCCACATTAGATATTCTGTATTCCAGTTGACAGTCAAAAATTAAACCTCCCAAGCACTACATGATGGTAATATTAGTCTTTGTTTAAGGTAATAAGTTACTAAGTAGTAAGTTAAGACACTGAACTTTGAGACAACAATTTTTCTAATTGAATGAAAAGGAACCAAATGAATAAAGCTTTCTCTCCACCACTCGTTTACCAGCCTGTTATGTGCGAACGTAATTTGGATAGCTAAGATCACATCTTGTTGTGATACTTACCCGCACATGTAGCAAGTCATTTCACAGTAAGGTTTGTTTTTTATTCATTCAGTTATTGGATAGTATTTCAAGAAACATTGTTCACTCTCCAGTTTTGTTTAAACTCGTCACAGCCATGATATCAAAAATGACATTTCTGTAGACTGTAGCTGTTTTCCTGTGTATTTAGATGGGTCATTGTCTTAGTTAACACTTCCTTATTTAATCCTGTAGATAAACAGAATTACATCACTTACATCAGGATTTCTCAACCATTTTATAGTGCGGAGGATTTTTTTTCAATACTGACAATTTTGTCTCGGGCTAACCGACTGGCACCGGCCCGTCACTTCGCACTTAAGTTAGACGAGGGGGGGTCTCTTATAAGTCTGTCTGTGGGTTCACGTGCATGTAAGTTTTGATTCGTGTCAACAAAGGACAGAGAGATGGGGGATTTAAAGGAGAGCACACAAGAGAGAAAGTGGGCCAAACGAAACACCTCCCAGCAGCCCTCAGAGTTGATGATGATTTCATGTGATGATGGACTGGTTTATCTCGCACGCTGATGGCCTACTCCAGTTTAAATCAGTATATTGTTGTTTAGGGGCGTGACAACGGTTGACTCACCAAGTTCAAAATAATTAAGACTTTTAAAAGACTATAAAATTTAAGTGAAGTGAATATTTTTCACTTTCTGTTTGCCAAATCATATGGTTTCCATGCGACCTAGTGACAAATGTTCAAGACCCTTTACCGGTCCGCAACCCAGAGTTAATTCAGGGGTAAAACAACGGCAGACGTACGAGAGCTGGCGAAGCGGAAGAGGTTGACTGTACAAACAGTACAAACTGCTGTACTGCATGTCATCCTGCACACAACGATAACAGGACTTACCAGTTAACATTCCTTCAACTGCTCTCATCTACTTCCTGCGTCTTTACCAACACCTCTACCTCTTGTTCTTCTAGTTCTGATTAGCATCTTATTCACTGCAGCTCCTCTAAACATAAATGAATCTCTCTCTCTCTCTGCCTGGCTGTGAGACATGAACTTAAGTTACCCTAGTTAAACTCATTTATTCCTTTCTCTTCCTCTACACATCACACCCTTAAATCCCACAACGCCCCGTATTAAGAAAGAGGTCAGTCACCATCTGTCCATAAACAAGCAGCTTTACATTCACCATAAAAGGTGGAATCAGTGTAATATTTGATCATGGTTTCCTGTTAAAATCTTCCAAATGTGCTCTGCTGGTGTTTTCTCTTCTATCAAAGCCACGTTTCTACATTCACACGAGTGCTACTCGCATGAAACAGCTGTTTGTGTTTTCTGAGTCTCCTCTCTCACCCTGTCCCTGTGCTTTGTTACGTCTAAGCCTCTAAAAGCCAGGAAAGACACCGTTTAGTGTAACTTTATCTGCAGCAGGGGGGCTTAATGGACCTGTACCTGAAAGATGACCGGTTTGATAGCGTCACCTAGCATTTGGGGACTGGATCAGACAGAATAAGACTCAACATTTTTGTAGGTTAATGTAAATTGTCTTGCCTTTTGGTCTTTTAAAATTTCAGCCTAATGCAAGATAAATACGCTGGATTTATATGAGAGAAGATGTGCTAGAAGGAAAGTCAAAAGGGCAGATGAAAGGACTTCAAGTTGGAAAAAAACTACTTGTTTGATTCTAACCTTTTAGCTTCTTTGCCCTCTTTTCTTGTGTTTCTTCCTACCTGACAGGTGAGAGACTGAGTGAGAGCGAGCGAGTGAGAGAAGGAACAAAGAGAGAGACACAGAGGTCATGGAGCAGCAGAGACAGAGATCTCTCTCCACGTCGGGAGAAACGCTGTACGCCGTGCTGGGAGTCGACAAGAACGCCACGACAGAAGACATCAAGAAATGTTACAGGTATATGTTAACACACATACACACAACAGCCCCCATCCTCCATCTTTAATCCTGATGTTTTACGTTGTAACCCACTAGAGGGAGCCAGACGCCTGTATTAAACTCTTCTAATAAGTTAAAGGGATACTGAAATAAATAGAAGTTAATTTAAGCAGTTACATGTAGATATTTTAATAGTGTGTGTACATGTGTCAACATTTTCCTCACACTCGTGTTGATTTGTTAAGCTCTTGAATAAAGCATTTAGCGTATTTAGTTTAAATAGGTTTTAAAGATGTAAAATCTAATTTCCCTCTTTGCTTTAAAAGAGTAATCCTGCACAGCATGGTGGGTTTGTAGCTAGTTTATATTGATTTGTGTTACTTTTAACTGCACCTGCTGCAGCTCTGTGTTTCTGAATCATGCTTGACAAAAATCTCTCAGGCTTACACCCTTATTCAATTACAAACAAACTTGCTAACAACATGACATTTGTTTCTGTTGCTAATAGTAGCATATAAACATTCACATTTTATAAAATAATCATGGATTTTATTTGCAGTACTGCAGTAAACAAATTAAGCATTATTCTGTTCCAATTTATCCACATTTCTGCTTCTTTCTACTAGATTTCTGCTTGCAATGGTGCTTAAGACAATATGTAAATAAATAAATAACAACAACATAAGAGTGACATTTTACACAGTTTTGACTTAAAGTCTCTGCCCTCCTTTTAATTTTCTGGGAGTAAATTTCTATATTTAAAAAGTGTTTAATACTTAAGAGCAATTCTATTATAATATTATGGTCCGAGTAAACCTTCTTCATTCATATGCTTGACTGAAAGACTGTTGCAACATACAGTTTGCCCTTTTCACAAAAGACATTTTGACATGCCACAAGGGAAAGGCACGGGTAAATAATAAAAATTTATGTTGGCTGAATCCCATTTAGCTGTGTCACAAAGTTCTGATACTGTCATGGCTTACCAGAACATTTGTTAGTAGTCCTTTTTATACTATGACTAGTAAAAAACTTATTTCAGTGCCATTCTCTAAGATCCTCTATTCTTTCTGTGGGGGGATTTGTTGTTTTTACAGGAAACTGGCGTTGAAGTTTCACCCAGATAAGAACCCGGACAACCCAGAGGCGGCCGAAAAGTTTAAGGAAATCAATAACGCCCACTCCATTCTGAGCGACGCCACCAAGAAGAACATCTACGACAAATACGGCTCGCTGGGGCTCTACGTCGCAGAGCAGTTTGGAGAGGAGAACGTTAACACCTACTTTGTTCTGTCCAGCTGGTGGGCGAAGGTAGGAAGACAGATGGGGGGTGAGGCCAATGCATGCACTGTGGACTAGCTGTGCTTCGTTCGCTCTTTCTGCCTTGGCACATGCAGACTGAAGCAGCTCTGAGCTGTGTTTCAAAGGGAAAGCAGAAGATATTACTGAAGCTGCAATAAACATCACAATCTTATCTACTTCTATGATGACACTGGCACTCATGATGCCACGGCTAGTCCAGCGTATAACTAGGATTTACTAAGTGGTAATTGTATCTCTCTGCCTCGTCCATGTTTACCTTCATCAGTTGTTTAATATATATATCTCTCTGTCTCCCCCCTCTTCGTCCCACAGGCCTTGTTCGTCTTCTGCTGCCTGTCCACAGGCTGTTATTGCTGCTGTTGCCTGTGTTGCTGCTGTAACTGTTGCTGCGGCAAATGTAAACCTCGGCCGCCCATGGACCAGGAGCCCGAGTTCTACGTCTCCCCCGAGGACCTGGAGGCCCAGATGACCGCTGACGAGAGAGGTGAGGGCTGGGGTGCATGCTAACTGCTTTACTGGGGGGGGGGGGCAAAAACTGGGAGTTGAAAACTTTTCCTTTCCCAGTGTTGAATATTTTACACAACATCCCTAAATGGTCCCAGTTTTGGATTACATTAACGATCTTGTGTGTAAATATCACATCTGTGTGGTCTTGCATTTAAACTTGAAATTTAGGCAATGAAATATCTGTTTCCACACTTGTTAGCACGTTAACTCTGAGCTAGATCTAAAAGCATAACCCTACTTTTAGTTTTCTTTTGTTTGACACTGTTTAGATTACTAATGCAGCTATTATTTTCATAATGGATTTGTAATCTCTTAATTATCAATAAATACCAGTTATAGTGGAAAAACTGCTAATCATAATTTCCACGATGCTTGTTTTTTTGTCGAAAGCCCAAAATATTCACTTTACAAGGAGATAATCAACAGGAGCTAGAACCAGAGGAGGTTTTCCTTCATAAATTATTGATTTAAATTAAGAATTCTTGTTGCGTATGTAATGTGTCTAACCCTAACTCTATATCCAATCATGTGAATTATGGGCCATAAAATGTCTAAAATATGATTTTGACGTGTCTTTAAAGTTGATTGGATTGTCAAGCTAATGTTACTTCTATAAAGTTCACCTTCAGTCTTGCTTTTAATCGTGTTTTTAGGGAAAAAAATGTATTGATCACACTACAAAACGAAGCCAACATGGAACCAATAATCACAAGTACAAACTGTGAGAGTCTAAAAGTAATAAGTTAAAATTGTTTCTGTTATCATTACTTTCATCTGATAAAACGCTTGGGAACCTTAGGTGTAATAGTTAAAGACATTATAGTCGCATTGGAAGAACATAAAGCAGCTGTAAAAAGCCACCAGCAAATCTCTGACATCACCCAATTAGGGCTGCATCTACCAAATATTTTCATTATCGATTAACCTGTCGATCATTTTCTCAATTAATTGATTAGTTGTTTGGTCTAAAATGTCAGAAAATATTGAAAAATGTCGACTAGTGTTTCCCGAAGCCCAAGATGACTTCCGCAAATGTGCTCAATGTAATATGTAACTTTACATACGTGAAGTTGGACGTAGACAATCTATGCAGTGAAATGAAACACTCTGCATCTCTGTCAGCAAGTTGATTGTGTAAACATGATGTTTACTCCTAGCGGACTTGATGCTTAATTTGGAGTTGCAGCGTAATGTTTTTGTGAGGTAATGCAGAGACACTTGCAGGGAACACAAACACTGTTAGGATGGAATTACATGCCTGTGGCTTTACAGAAAACGTGGCAGTGTTTGTTTTTGTTTGGTCTTTTTTAGGGAGTCTTATTGGTCTTAGAGAGATTTGTTTGCATGTGTTCTTATGTGTGTGTGTGTGTCTGTCTGTCTTCCCCAGATGGAGGCGATCCCATCGTGATGCAGCCGTCCTCCGCCACAGAAACCACCCAGCTTACCTCTGATGCCCACCAAAGCTACAGGACTGACACATACTAACACACACACACACTCATATATACAGCTCACACCTTACAGTTCACCACAGCTACAGTATCAACCAATAACAGACCCACACAACCGACTCCACCACAATCACAGAACTGATGCACATACTGCACGCACACACACACACTCACTCACCTTTCTTCTTTCTTATCATTCACCCGTGTCCATTATTTTCCCTTCAACTGCAGCGGTGAATTAAAAACACCACACACACACACACACACACACACACACACACACACCAGCAACTACTACACACACTACTCATCGACAGCATGAGCTCAATCTTTTAACTTGTTTTGAGGGGAGAAGAAAAGTGAAGGAGGAAAAATAAATACTACTAAAAATAATACTTGAAATATCAGTAAACAATAAACAGTTAGTTATTTTAACACTGGTTAGACAGAACGCAGACAAGATTGTGATTGGGTGATCCTCACTAACATTCATCTTACGAGTAAAGAGGAACTCATTGTTAGCACGGAAGGGGAATTAAAAAAGGACGCGCCAACCCTTTCAAAACAAAGAGACACATGTACTAAATAAGAAGTGTCCACACAAATTACAGGGTTTGGTTGTTTGTTTTTTAAATCATGAGAAAGAAAAAGCATAAAGATCACATAACTTCAGCACAAAAAGAAAGTACTAATGGTGGATGAAGCCAGAGAGAGAAACAGGATTGATAGTAAAGATATGCATTGACTTTTAAGAGTAATAATTTTGTGACGGTGCGTGTATACTAGGAGGCATTTCAGCCAGGATTTTCAACTGCGCTTTAAGAGCGTAAATGCAACCCGAAGCGCCTGTAAGACTATCCAGTTTTACTGCAAAGACCAGTTTGTACTTTACCACCGTGCTCTACCGTACACGCAACAAGCATGTACAGAAGCACTTCTGGCCTGTAGGTGAATACAAGGAACTTTCCATCAATCAAGTCAGACATTTTCCAAGTGGAAATGTATGCAAGGCGTGCCAGGCAGACACATCGTTGAAAATTTCATTTTTTAAACAAGAAAATTTGTACATTTAATGTTTTACCCTTGTTGTCTATAAATTTTTGATTTAAATATTGATTTTGTTAATCATCTCCTCTTAGCTCGCTGGGAAACACTTATCGAGGCTTCTCTGTCAGCCCAGTGCTGGCTGGAAGTAGGTCAGTGATCCTGTCTTTATGTTCAGTGAGGAGTTGAAAGGAGTGGGTGGGGCTTGAGGGTGTTTATTTGTCCTCAATACCCTCATAAACATAACCACGGGAGCCCCTCTCAGTCTGGAGAGGGCGGCTCACACTTCAACAGGTGTTGCACTGCCATCCGTCACTTAAATCAGACAGAACGATATGAAACAGTTTGTTCAAGTGGTCTAAATACCATCCCAGAGAGATACCTAAAGATTTGAACTTATTATTATTGATAATTGTGGCATGCAGCCACCCTTAGCATGTCAGCTTCCTCTGTCATCCAGCACAGTATTGCAGCATGATAAATCATATGAGTTTTTAGCAGAAACATCTTCCTAAAGGCAAACGCCAGAAACCCCTGCAGCTGTTAGGACTGAATCTTAACCAGCCTTTGCACATGTTGCCATGACTAAACTAAATCTACATCAGGCAATACTAGCGTGTAACATCCTGGGTCCTTTTTCTCAGTCATTAGTCACATTACTTGTTATTACCTCCATTGTAGATTTGCCGTGAACCTCCTCCTCCTTCTCTTCACTTCTTCCTTCTTCTATGTTTAACCTTGATCCATTTTCTCTTCCCCATACAAAAGATCGAGCTCCCTGGATCACATTGAAATCTCTGTGTTTGCTGTGGGAGCTACTGCAGAGTTCAGTGCTTATTAGTGGAAACATTACAAGGACATTACCACACATTAGTGACCTCTTGCTTTCATCCAGAAGACCAGACATACACACTGATTAAGCCCTTTTTTTGTTTGTTTGTTTTTAGTTTTTAATATGTTTTGTGAGGAAGTAAAAATGCTGTACATGTCGAGTAAAGTGTATGTTTAGATTTTGTGTCACTGTATTTCTTTTAAGTTGGTCAGAAATTCGAACACTTTTTAATTCTTTCTATTTTTCTCCGTAGAATTGCTTTTCACTGTTTTTGTTTTTTCTTATTTATGTTGTTTAATGAAGGGAGGATATTGATATCCAAAGTCTTATTTGTTCGTGTGGCAGAAGTTTTGTAGACAATCTTCAACAATCAGACTGCTTAGTACAGTTATATCAACTTTTGTAGGTCTTTATTTGTCACACATCAGCAGCATAACAGCTTGCTACAGTAGTTCTTTGTGTCAACTATTTGATTTTTGTAAAGAGAAAAAAACGCCTACACTAAACCAAACAGGCTAATTTATTCACTATATTTACTTTCATTCCTCAGTCAAACGCTTTGTTCATTTTGGATTTTTTACATATCATGAGAAAGTGCAATAAGAGCTAAATAAATCTCTTCCATGGCTTTCCTTCTCTTCTAAACTTCCAATCACAAATTTCAGAGGTTGTTTCAGGGAATCTGCAGATTCATAAAGTCCCTAAATTAGCTCCATTTGAGACCACAATAAGGATGAAATAGAGCTACATTAAGTTGTTTCTTACATAAGTTAGTGAAATATATATGCGATGTCTGCCCTAGTAAACATACTGGATTAAGTTTTAAAGTTTGTATTCCAGTTTTTAATTTGCACTAATCTGGTCAAAAAAACAGTTTTGATGGACCTTTTGAAAGGGTTTTTATGTAACCTGCAGATGTTCTGTTTTAACCGAAATTTCTCTTTACTTAGTTTTGTGCTTTATGTCATATGACCGTTGAAACACAGCATTGTTAAACCCAAAATCCCTCCTTTCTTTTTTGAAATGTTTCCTGTATTGATCAAACATGCAACACGTGTCTGAGTGAATGCAGCTTGAAGCCTAAAAACCATAAACCTGGAGTCAAGGAACTTCCATTGTTAGATCTGAAACCAAGACATAAATAACAAGAACTGATTTAAGTGTGAATATAGCAACCAGATGATAATAATATTGAAGCATTTTATTTATTTTATTTTTCTTAAGTTTTTAATAATTGAGTAACGACTAGCTGGTGTGTGAAGGGGATGTATAGAATTGTAGATGTAAACCATTTTGACAATCAAGTGGCAAAATGGCAGAACTGCTGTATATAAACGCAGTGGCACAGTACATAGATGTAGAGGTTTTCTGTTTTTAGCATGGACTGATGTATGAGTCTGTCAGGCAGATGGGTGGGTAAATGAAGTATCTGATGTACTGTTGTAAAATAAATGTTTCTGTTGCTTCAGAGCCTCTTTTCTCATTGGGTTTCTTTGATTTAAATGTGACTTCCATATACGACCTCAAATTATATTTTTACTTTTTGTATAATTACCCTAAAAATATGGTAATTTTATGTTTCTGTTGACATCACGCCAAAAAAGCATATACAGTATAAGAAGAAAAAAAGGGGACCAGGACAACTGCCCTGTGGAACACCACAAGACCTGTTGTCAGTCAGAGATACAAGATCCCGTGGATTAGAAAATTATATTGAATAACTCCCTTTTCATTCAATAGTCATGTCAACCATACTCCTCAAAAAGTCAGTGACATGAAGCAAGTTCCCAGTTCAAATAAGAATTACTCAGCTACCAAACATCACATCACGCCACATTCTTGGTAAAATTCCCTCTTTTTTTTATTCCACGCATTTTACCAGCAAAACCTGGCGCCTGCATTACCCACAATGCAACTCAGTGTCAGTTACATTTATTCATTTAGCTGACGCGTTTATCCAAAGCGACTTACAATTGCTATACATGCCAGAGGTCGCACACCTCTGGAGATACTAGGGTTAGTGTCTTGCTCAGGGACACATTGGTCGATGGGTCACAGTGGGGAATTGAATCCAGGTCTGTCACACCAAAGGCATGTGTCTTATGCGTTGCGCCATCACCACCCCAGTTCGGTCAGATATTCAGGTGTAGTAGTCAAGTGACATTGGTTGAGCCAATTTATCAGATTTCTCTTTGGAACCACAAAAGGCTTTACATAACTCTTTCCATATGCAGTCGTACTCCCAAACCCATGTAAACAGATCCAACAGGCGATGGGGCAGTGACACCTATCAAATGGGAGACCTGGGTTTAATTCCTACTGCGACACATCCACCAATGTATCCCTGAGCAGGACACTTAACCCCTAGTTGCTCCAGAGGCGTGCAACCTCTGACATGTACAGCAATTGTAAGTCTATTTTCGATAAAAGCGTCAGCTAAATGAGCAAATGTAGATTTACATCTGCAGCTTTGTGAAAGCCAAACTTTCAATCATCTTTTGAAATGTTTCCTTATAAAGTAGTTTTGCATAACTACCATTAATAAAATTAGACCGTGACATGACTGCACAATGGCTTTATTTCATGAAATGAATAGTTATCAGCATATTTGATCATTAGCATTATGTGTAACGTTATATTGATATCGCACAAAGGAAACATGTATAACAGGAAGAGAAGGGGACCTAGACAACAGTCCTGAGTGAAATACATCTAAATTGTTAATTAGAAAAAGGTCACAATCAGATCATTGTAAAATAAATAAATGTGAAAACCATTTCCCAATAAAACCAAAAATTAAAACATAAGTATTAAGCATCCAAAAACCACAGCACGCCATATTCTTGGCTAAATATACTGACTTTCATTTCCTGTGTTATGTAATTTGTTTTCTTCTAAACAATTAAAGCAGTAACAAACTTTTTAAAAACTACAAACATAACTATGTAGCAGATAAACAATGTGAATATAGGTATTTGTGTAATCACCACATATTTAATTCAGACTTTCAGTCCGTTTTTACATTTGTTGTGATTGAGTCATTTTGTATAATTACCATGAAAAATTAGACGACCTAAAATACTTACTGATTGTTACCATAGTAGCACCTATGCTATTGTCATGAGCACACAGTACCTGTGATAATTAATGTAGTGTGTATACATCACCCAAAGAAGCATGTATGAGCAGAAACGAACAGGACCAAGACAACTGCCCTGTGGAATGCCACCAGTTTTGTTGGGCAAGTTACTTCCAAAATGTAATAAATTATATAATACTAGTTTATGTCATTTGAGAGTTATTAGTTATATTACAATATTACTGTCTCTGAATTGTAATGCTTTACACTACTTTTGCGTTTCTTTTGAGTAACGAGTTATATTACTGTGTTACAGCAAAAAGCAATACATTATTGTAATTACGTTACTCCCAACACTGAACAGCACAAGGGATCTTAAAAGATGTGAAATACCTTTTCACTTTTTATTAGAACACTTTTCTGTGGGACTCAAACTTATGAAGTTCCACTCACTTTGTATTGGAAAAAGTTCATAATACTCATACTCATAAAACAGAGATGTAAAATAACAATTTTTAAAAAATGGCAACCAACCCACTTACCAAATTAGTTAAAAAAAAACACACCATGCCACAATCTTAGCTAAATATCCCAGCTATAACTTTGAGTACATTTACAGATGTATTGTTTTCTCATAACCTCTACACAGCAGAATAATTAAACAGGGGAATACCTGTGTCAAAGGCACTCCACTGGTGTGGAGGTTGATGTAGAAACACATAATAGATGACAATAAATATGATTTTTTTAAAGGAGAAGTTTTATGAACAATAAAAAATCTGTGTATAGCTACATAATAGTGTGTTCTAAACCATTTATTAAATTGTTATGTAGTGTATAAACGCTAAAGGGTGGTGATGTGCTCCTGTGTGTCCACTTGAATTGAACATTTAACGTAGTCAGACACCGTAAACAGGTTACATTGTGCATGGAAACATGGTGACAGTAACATTTAGAGGTTGACTGACTTCTCTGCAGTGGTCCTGTTTGCTTACAGCAATAAAAGTGTCTCAAAATGAAGGTGGTAATTATTATTACATATTAAAATGCTACAGTTGGCATATTTAAAAGGACAGTGAGTGTAGGTGTGTGTAACAGTAGAAAGAGCACAGCTTGGCATGGTCTTAATCCGTCCACATACCAGCCACTGCCTGATATGGTGTGTGTGTGTGTGTGTGTGTGTGTGTGTGTGTGTGTGTGTGTGTGTGTGTGTGTGTGTGTGTGTGTGTGTGTTGGGATCATTTCAGAGGCACGGAGCTGAAACCTGACCCTCCCCCCGACACCACCACCCCACCCACTCCAACTCAAATTAGCCCCCCCACCCTATGCATCGTCTCTCTCTCACACACACACACACAGACAGACACATTGCTGTGGATGGTGAGGAAGCTGCGAACAAACAAACACAGCAGTCGCTACTTGTGCTGGACGAGCGAGGGAGGGTCTGTGAGGAAGAGGAGGACGAACAAGGCAGAAGGAGTGCTGGTGTACTGGTACTTAGTGTCGGCATTCAGTGTCACAGAAGCAGAAGAAGAGTGGAAACTGATTCCTACTTCTCGGATATGAATCAGCTTTTTCTTGAACTGATTAACCTCGATGTGACTTCTTGACCTCAACTTCTGATTGTGTTTTCAGTGTCTACGTCTGTGATATTTCTCACTACAGACTGGACATGAAAAGTTTCTCCAACGTAACAAAGGCTGAAAGTGAACCCCAATGCTGAAGACAAACTCTCTGACAGCTGATTTTCAAACTGTCTGAGTGAATGAGTTGGGTATTTCCAGAGCTGAGACGGACACCGTCACCCTCTGTGGTCTGTACAGTCAGCAGCTTCATTCAAAACTTACCCAACAACAGAATGAAACTCAGTTTATTTAAGTTCATTGAGTCCTGGATTATCTGTGCATGTAAAACTTGTAAAAATCTAACATATTACTCCAGTAAATAATTCTGTTTACGTGACTATTGTTTATTAAAGCTGAACAACCTGTCCCTTCGGGACCCCCAAGAGACTTTCTGCTTGCTGGTGTTTTGCTCGCAGGACCACAACTCCGCTGTGATTTTGGAAAAACTACAACGGAGTCTGGATTTACTCAGTGATACACAAATACATCTCAACTAAATGATTGATTGGCTGTAGAGACTTGCAAAAGGACCACAAGAGGTGGAACACCAGCTGAGAGAGAAACTAACTGCCAACAGTCCAAACACTCTCCGACCTTCAGCAGATGGAGAGGAAGGTGAGTTTTCAAGTTGTTTTGTTTTGGCTTTCAGTGGTTTCCTTGTTTTTTTGTCTTTATTGTCTGTCTTGAGCTTTTTGTTTCAATGCAATTCCTTAACCCTTTACCTAGTCCAAAAGCAAATTTTTAAATCGAGGTGTGCTTTTACAGGCAGACATTAGTTTACACTCATTGCACTGTATTTGGAAACTCATGCAGAGACACAAATCCTGCTTAGGTAATCCACCACAGTGAAAGTGCAGTTTGCAGAGATTGTTAGAAGGTGTGTTTTGGTCAAATCAAGCCTTGGAGACAAATATTAAAAGCCCAACTGACACACCACTGGGTAAGTAATTATAACCACATTACATGAAGTTTAAATGCTTTAGTGATACTAGTTTGAAATACTAATTTCCCCATAATAAGATGGAGGAAAGTATTACAAAAGGATGCAAAAGACATCTAGAATATTTCCAACTAATGGAATATCGCAGCCATAAAAGCTTTATGGCATCCATTATTTTTCCAACTTTAAAGCTACTTAAGGGATAACAAAAGGCAGGAACTGAATCGACATGAACATTGTGAAAACAATAATGTGAATTTGGTAACTTTTTGCTGGAGGTTCACCAGCTGACTCTTAAATCAAATGATTAGGCTACCTTTCTGAAACAGGTTTTATGTTGCAAGGTATTTTTTGTAGAACTGAACTAAAAGCAACGACCTGGGAGTAAAATAAAATGAAAGTGGTCAGCAGTGACTCAAGTATACGCATTTTATAGTTATTGATCTAAAAAAGGCGAGACCTGCTGTCTGACAGCAGCAGATCACTATTAGATCGCTGAGGTTCTGGTGTTAACAGGAGGAGGTGAAGATTGGCGGAGCGGCCATGTCACTGCCGGCGGACTTGAGTTGCCTGCAGGCTGGCGGGGGAGCAGAGGGTGAGGCGGCCCTGGCAAACCTGGAGAAGCAGCTGATCTGTCCCATCTGCCTGGAGCTCTTCAACAAACCTGTGGTCATCCTGCCCTGCCAGCACAACCTCTGCAGGAAGTGTGCCAACGAGCTCTACCAGGTCTGTGAGACAACACACGTTGGCCACGGCTAATAAACACGTACTGTATGTGCTGTGTGTTTCTGTACATATAATCCCTGTATGTACACAAAGTTCTGTGCATGTATGTACTGTATGTGCAGGAACACACATCTTTCATCACACACTTTTTATGCCATGAGGCATTGTTGACAACACACACTCAGATTTGTGTGTGTGAGTGTGCAGTGGATTAACAGTGTCTAAAACAGGACTTGTTGATGTTTAACTGATTCGCTCATGTACATGAAAATCACCTTCCATGACCTACATTCATTGCTATTGTGTGTGTGTTTCATGTATTTATATCCCTTTGGGGGCTTTAATCTAATACACACTAACTGATTGGGACTTGTGTCACCATGGGGACTGCATTTAGAGGTTAAGACTTGGTTTTAGGGTTCAGGTTACAATTAGGTTAAGGTTAAGGGTTAGGCATGTAGTTGTGATGGTTAGGTTAAGGTAAAGTGCAAGGGGATAGAGGAAGAAACACGTTTGTGTGTTTGTGCATGTTCTGCTACATGTCATTTTTAGGACATTTTCACTGTGGTTCCATTTGTTTGAGTCTGACTTTGAGTTCAGTTGTCCCCCATAACCCTGCTGCAGTGCAGTGATGTGTGTGAATAAGAATCATAGGTGTCATTTACACTGGGGACGCTGGGGAAATGTCCCCACCACTTTTTGAAATGACTGATTTTTGAAAGCATTTGTTAAAATTGTTCTGAAAAATAGCTTGCCAACAAGAAATGTTAAATAACAAATGAAATTTGCTTTGAGAAATGTTTATTTGCACAATAAGAAAATATGCAATGCAATTTAAATCTAGAAGAAACACACGTGCATTGTCCAAGAAAGTAAATTAAGCAATAAAAAAGCTACTGATTTATTCTATTGTATAAATTTGAATTATCACCTACCACTTGTGTTTCCCTTCATATAAATAAAGACTATTACACCATAAATTGGTGACCTTAAGTCCCCTCCACTTTGCTACATGAAGTGACGCCCTTGCTAAGAATGTAAGTTCATTTACTCATTTTTACTGGGAATGTCCTAAAGTAAAATGTTTGAGGCAGTTTATTTTAGTACTTTAGTTGCTTTGCAGATTAAGATTTCACATGCAAAACCATTAGCTTGTAAATATTAATCTACCCAACAGCATGTGAAGTAGTTCTGGTTATCTTCACTTCCACATGCTGCAAAGTTAAAACACTGATAACAGTACAGTAATTAAGTATTAAAAATCCTATAATATATAACCATTACATATGAAATTCAGTAACATTCTCCACAACACTGAGAGACTTTTTAGCAGCTCTGTGAATCACAGCTGTGAGCTAAATACTAACGTCACCATGCTAGCAAGCTCACAGTGACAATGCTAACATGCTGATGGTTAGCAGATGTAATGTTTACCACGTAGTCGTAAACTTATGTTATTGGACAAAACAATCGACCTGATGGTGGCTCTAGATGAAAAATCTGAGGTCACCAAAGATATTAAAGTTCAACCCAAGGGCAACATGGATGTCTGTATCAATTCCCATGGCAATCCATTTAACAGTTGTTGAGAAAATCCACTCCAACCACAAATGTCAGCCTCATGGTGGCGCTACAGGAAAAGAGGATCACCAAAGTCTGACGCAATCATCCTCTGGGCACCATGAATGTCTCCACAAAATTCCTCAGCAATCTCATCATCATTTTCTTTGACTTTGAAATCGTGTCACCGTTGGAGAACATTGAAACCAGTATAAATTCAAGCTGGTCCAAAAGACTCTGTAAACCAGTTCTCTCAGGCCTCAGTGTTTTTCTGATCCTCAGTCAGGCCCAGCAGCAGCTGGGGCGCATTAAAGGCCACTATTTCAGGACGCTGTAACCCTTTAACCTTCCATTCGTCTCTCAGTTCATCTGTCCTTTTCTTCACTCGTCTATCCGTCTCTCTGTTTTTCCCCTGACTCTTAATTCTCTTGTGATCTCTTGTTTTATCTAACTATTAAGATAAGATAAGATAAGATACTTATTAAACCGTCTTTCTGTCTTTTTGTCTAAAGCACCGACTTACTGCTGAAAACCCTAAATAATTATTTGACCTTATTCATACGTGACATTTTGGTAAATAATAATTTAAAAAGTATGGAGCCAGACCAGCAACCAGAACATATTGGAGCATTTAGCTGTTAAAGAGCCTTGGTGGTGGAGAGACCAAAAACTAGCTAGCTAAAAGAGAGTCAGTATTGAACTTAAGTCCACCAGGTGGCCAAAAACATGCCTCCTTTAGGATGATCATGTTGCTCTGTGTCTGCTGGGCATGTAAGTAACTTAGATAACTGCTTGCTCGCAGGTTAGCCAAAACATCTTCAAAAGATTATAATAAATCAATACCGTGTGTATGTCAGCTTAATTTAAAGTTCTACTGCCTCACTGTGGCCAAAAATGTATTAATACACCTTTAACAGATTTCACAGCATCTATGTCATCTTATGTTTTAGGATTCATGCTCATTTAGGCTGAATTCTGTAGTTTGATAGCCATGATAATACGTTCATCAGAGGTTTCATGGTATTTTTAATTAATTTAGAGACTTGGAGAGTAAACATAAGCTACTCTATGTGTGTGTGTGTGTGTGTGTGTGTGTGTGTGTGTGCGCTGCCCTCTGAGCCTCACAGTGTTTACATGCCGGATGGTGAGCAGGGGATTTTCCTCCAGTCTTGTTTTCACCCAGTAACCCGTCCTGAACCAGCTCTGACTTCACCCAGGGAGACATTTGGAAGATTTTGCAAATTCTCCACCGGTGACAGCGACTGATACTAAAACTGTTGCTAATTATTAAAATCCCAGTATGCAGCTGTGTTGTATGGCAACAAACTCCAACTGTTGTTTGTTGACAGGCAGTCGTGGAGGAGTGAAGAGCAAAGCTGTACATTGTATCATTAACATTAACATTTTAATATCATTTCTTTCTGTCCAGCCGTCCCTGTTCCAGGCTCGTACCACCATGATGGTGAACAGCGGTCGTTTCCGCTGCCCGTCCTGCAGACACGAGGTGGTGCTGGATCGCCACGGCGTCTACGGCCTGCCACGAAACCTGCTGGTGGAGAACATCATCGATGTCTACAAACAGGAAGTCAGCAACAACAACAATGCCACAAGGTGAACAGAGACGACACGGAGGATTATGAGGTGATATAAAATATACTTACATATACTGTACATACAGGTATTTGAAGATCTGGTGTTTCTTCTGTCCCTCTCTGCAGTCCTGCCCCTCCTCCTGGTCCACCTCCTGCTCAGGTAACATGTTCAGACCATGAGGGTGAGAAAGTGAACATCTACTGTGTCACCTGTCAGGTTCCTACATGTTCTCTCTGTAAAGTGTTCGGGGCTCATCAGTCCTGTCAGGTGGCCCCTCTGACAGACATCTACCAGCAGCAGAAGGTATTTAACTCTATATATAGGCTGATGTTATTATGTGTGTGTGTGTGTGTGTGTAAAAAGCATTATGCCAGTGTATTTTCATGGTTTAGTACCTTTATACACACTACATCTATTTTATAATAGTGCTGAATATCAAAGTATACCATTTTTATTCCTACTGTAGATGTTCCATCTACTCCTCCTACTATAAAAATAGCAGAGATGTGCAGTAGACTAGTCTGTCCTTTTATTTTTGTCCAAGTTATGTTAGGGATTGTGTGTGGTGATGCAGTATAGACTTTTTAAATCATGCTCCTTATTTGCTATCAGATTAGTGCGCTTTCCACCATTTTATTGGAGTATCTGAAATCTAAGTGTGTAAAGATTTTGCACAATGTAGGGCCCTCAAAATTTTGTCAATGGGATAATAAATGTTAAATATGCTCTAGAAATTTTACAATGCAAATCTTGCTCCTGAGATGCAACGCTACACGCAACACGACATTTTGTTTGATAATAAGTAGCCCAATTAACAAAAGAGCAGTTTTATAACACTGCTTTATCACACAGGTTTATGTCTAAAAGTATTGTGTTAATGATCGATTGGGGTTTGAATGTAAAACCTAAAACTTTTAGATAACTAAATAATCTTACAGTAACTCTTAATAACAAGTTTGCTTTCTTTTGTTTCCCAGGATGAGCTGAACGAAGGAGTCAGTTCTCTGGTGGCGTTCAACGACAAAGTCCAGGCTTTGATCAATGGGCTGGAGGAGGCTTGCAAAAACATTGAGGTGTGTGTGTGTGTGTGTGTGTGTGAGAATGCCTAACAATAGTACATCTTCTCCCTCTGTGACATAGAGATCCATAGTTGTCCAAAAATTATTAAAAACCCATGACTGAGCTACACTGTTAAAATACACTGACTCTGTACCACATACAGACCCAAATATGGATTCATCCACTAGTGAAAATAGTCCCCAACAAATGCACTAAAAGCTTCAGTGTCCAGCTGTTTTAGGACATTACTGAGCGTTAAAAAATGAAACATTTATACATGCAAACAAACGAAAACAAAATGCTTTTTAAGGATTCATGTCTTCCGATGTAACCAATCTGATTTTGGGCTGAGAGCCAAAGTCAGTGTAGGAATTAAAAGATATAGAATAATACACTTACCCTTTAATTTATCTTAGATTAAAATCCAGTTCATATTTAAAATGTTGCTGAAACCTGCAGCAGGTATCTCTGTGTGTAAATGCTAGCCCAAACACTGGGTTTCTTTCCAACTCAGTGAACATGCTGCCCTACGTTCAGTATCAAGTTCATATATAATGTGAAAACACTCAACATAAAAGCCATATATTTTGTTGCGTTTGCTGATCTTCATTCTGCCCTCTGCAGGAGAACAGTAAGACTCAGAAACAGAGTGTGTGTGAGAAGTTCAATCGCGTGTTTTCTATCCTGGAGGACAGACGAAAGGTCAGATTCACTTCACTCAGTCTGCTGCACACATGTTATTTAATGTCTTTGAGCACCAATTAAATGGACATTGGTAGCAGTAGAAGTAATACTGTAATACTGCTTGCAATAGTAGAAGAACTGAATAAACAAACATATTTATGAAGTAATTTGACATAAAAACTACATTTCAATAAAAGAATGGACACCACATATATTTTATATCGTCATCTGTTTCCAAGAGCATATTGTAAAATATAAAAATGTAACTTTTCTAACATGCTGATCTGCAGTCTCTGGTTAATAAATGAAAATACACGACCTTACATTGTGTAGTATATGTTTAGTATACTTACATGTGATCTGTAATGGCACTAAACACCATAGCAGCAGTGTCAATACTCATATTTGTGATGGTAGTGAAACCAGTATTATTGTTTTCATCATTATTCCATCATCACACGAAGGCGATGACACAGCGAATCAGCTCCGAGCAGGAGGAGAAGACCGGCCACGCCGAGGCGTTGGTGCGTTGCTATGGAGACAGCGTGGAGGCCAACCGCAAACTGGTGGAGAGTTCATTGAGCAGCATGGAGGAGCCGGACATGGCTGCTTTTGTTCAGGTGGCCAGCACACTGCTCTGTGTGTGTGTGTGTGTGTGTGTGTTTCTCATAGATGTAAATTAGCAGCACGTTATTGTCCAGCGTACAAAATGTTAAATGTTTAAATGATTTGGATAGAGCCGCTTTGGGACAAGGAAGAAGTGAACACATTTTAGTGATGTGTGCCTCAGTGACACTCTTCTGAATCCTAAGGCTGTGTGAAGGCCAAGGTACAAACCTAAACCACAAACAATATTGTCCCATAAGAAATAACCACAATGAAGAGCCTTATATGGAGAAGAAGATCTTTGTGTGCGCAAATACATTCAGGTACGCTGCCATCAGCTATGGAAACAGGCAGGTATAAGGGTTATATGATCATTTAATGATGATATGTTAAGTCAATCTTCTGTGAAGAGTTTTAGGAAGGGAGCTGCTTTGGTGGCAGATTGTATCTCTAGACTTTGGGATGTTGTTTGGTCCATGTGGGACTTTCATGTCCATTTGTGGGGTTGTTTTTCTACTTTTATTAGACAGTGACAGTGAACAGGCAGGCAAGAAAAGGTCGTCAGTCATGTGGCACCACTTCTTTTACTACTATAACTACTGTAGTAGTGAAGTTAATAAGTAAAGTACTATGAATGATGCCTTTGGATGTTTGCATGCTTGGTTTGTGCGTGTTTTTGTGCTAAATTGAAGCAATGTGGGGAAATAATTTAAAACACGAAACTGGAAAGTAACTTAGTATATTTACTCAAGTATACTTAAGTACAATTTTGAGGTACTTGTACTTTACTTGACTATTTCCATTTTCTGCTTTTTTAAATTCCTACTCCACTACTATTCAGACACAAATATTGAAATATTTATCGTCACGCAATATATTTGATAATGTTTTGATATGTTTCTTGTTACTTTCAGATTCAGATTAATAATACAAAATCTGTTAATTATAATCAACAAAAGTATTATTATGCATTAATATTATATATTGTGAATAACAACATCCACCTTTACCATCTGCAACTTTACAGAGATGGCCATATTCATGCATCAATAGTTATAATCCATTAATATACATCATTCTGCATAGTGAGTACTTTTACTTTTGGTACTTTAAGCATATTTTGATGCTAATAATTTTGTATTTTTACAGAAGTAAAATTTTGAATCCAGGATTTTTACTTACCTAACCCTTACAGAATATTTCTACACTACGATATTGCTACTTTTACTTAAGTACATGATCTGAGTACTTTTTCTTCTATGTCAGACTTGTGAGTTCCTAAAATGATTTCTACTTTTCCAACTTCCTCCCTTCAGAATTCAAGAGAGCTGATCACAAAGTGAGTAATGTGATTAAACTCAGTGCACTCTCCTTTCTAAAGTCAATAATTTATTTGATTTAGTTCACTCTCCGTCCTTATTCTTTTACGTTCCTTTTTCTGTCATGCATTCTTTCCTCTCAATACCTCGTTCTTTTTCCATGTACATCCCTCTACTCTCCACGTTTCCTCAGACTGGTAGCAGCAACCAGCTCCTGTCCAGCCGAGACACTAAAACCAGGTTATGAGACTATGAGCCACTACAAATATAACTTCAGCAGACAGGAGAGAGCTCTGAAGAGCATAGACTTCCTCAAAGGTAAGAAGGGGGAACTGCCTACGAAACCGCTTTGAAATGTTTTTATTTTGATAAGACACCATTTCAGCATTGCTTAGTACGTCAAGAAAAAAATAAAGAAACATTTTAAAACAACAAACAAGAAAATGCTTTTAAAGGCTGCCTGACAGACACAAGAGTGTGGATGTAATATAAACTAAGTAACTGTCTGCTTGAGGGTTTTATTTTTGTCTGATCCAAAAATAGTTGCAGAAGGTACAGTCGGCCAAAATAACATATAAAGTGTAATAATAAAGTATAACAGAACTGAAAGAGTTACTGATTAAATACTTTTTAAAAGAAGAACTCTCCACCTAATGGATTTCATGTGGCCTAGGTCTATAGATCATTATTGATGCTCAATATACAAAACAACTTTACCTCTTTTTAAAAATACCTTTTACAAAATACCATATCTGCTCCAAGTGAATACAGAAATGTAAGAATGTTTAAAGCATAAATACAAAATATTACAAGAACCACCATTTCAGAATATTCTTCACCAAAAATACAATCTTTCCTCTTAAGTGAGTAAAAAAGGTTGAATCTCCACCGTAAAAACAGTATACTTAAATCTTTTCCATGTCTTCATATTTATGGATAACCATAACTACTTTCAAGGTCGATGTACAGTTGACCTCAACATATCCATCAGTTAACTAAACATCCTTTGGTTCTCACCCTCAGACACCATCCTGATAAAGGCAAGAAAAGTTTGGTGAATAAAATATGTGGTGCTGGAGAAGAGTTGTATCTCAACATGTTATCTCCAGAGCGTAGCTACTGACAGCACGCTGGTTTGCATTTAAGGAAATGTCTTTGGAGCTTAAACACTTTCAAAAAGTGTCAACACTTGTAAAAGAAAATGCAGATGATGTGTATGAGCTACAACAAAATGTGCAGTAATATTCTACAATACTGTCAACTCACCAAGCGGTAAATAATAGGAGTTAAAGTAATCATACAGAATTTTCTGATGCCAGCATTGTTAATCCTTGAGACCTGTTGATGTTATTGTAATTAATTTTCTAGATAAAGATCAATAAACCTTAATGTTGGTCTAATAAACGTTTAACTAAAATTCTACATTTCAGAAAAGTCACACTTTTAGGCACATTTAAATTCACATTCAGGATCAACAGGTTTTGTTTTCTCTCCTCAGTTGTGGAAGATGTTCCTGAAGAACCAGAGGTGGAACCAGAACCAGAGGAACCAGAAGAGCCCTCTGTACAGAACACAGAACCAGAACACAATCAGGAAACCTCTTTCCAGAACCTGGAGTCTGTTTCAGATCCAGTTGAAGAACCAATACCTGGACTGATATTCCCACCAGTGGAACCAGTACAGACAGCTGCACCAACATCAGCCCCAGTTTCACCAGTTCCAGATCTGGTGAGGGACTCTGTGGAGCCAGCAGGGGCAGTCCTGCAGCCAGAGACTGACGAGCTGGACTTAAATGATGAAGGACCTGGTCTAATGAAGAACAATAAGGAGGAGGAGATAGAGGAGGCGGAGGGAGTTGCAGCTCCTGATCCTGTTAGTGAGGGAAACGTCTGTGAACATGTGGAGGGAATGAGCACACAACAGGTACTGTATCACACTGCTGCAAAGAAACTTGTCTGGTGAAAATATATGAAATTTAAATCTCTTAAGTATGTCGACCACCAGAAGCTGTTTAAACGCTCAACAACTCACAGGTAACGCTCGACGTATACAGACTTTAACGTGATAGTTCAAGAGTGACTGTGCAGCTAATTTTCCACCGTTTATTTGTAAGTGATAATGACACGAGTTATTTTGAGATGACAAGTGTTGATTAGATGAACTGTTAAATGTGTGAAAATCAACTTGTCAAATCTTCTTTCAGCTCATCTTCAGACACAGCTTTCTGTCCCTCAGTCGCTCAAAGCTGACATCCGTCTCCTTCCTATGTAAACATTTTAAAGGAACCCCGAGTCCATTAACCACAATTTTGTGCGTTTTTGCAAACCATTTTACAACATTTAATTTTAGATTTCCTACTTTACTCACAGCATCTGGTCTCAATTCCGGTAAGTTTTGAAAATCAACTCACAGAAAATATAAATTTGATAAAAATACTGCAAGAACTCTGTGATAATGTACTTTATGAAGTGCATATTCTTGGTTTAAATACCAATGTTATCACCTGGTACAGCAGATTTAAACAGGAACTTTTTCACATCTCTCCACTAGATTGTTTCTGAGGGTTCTGCAACCTTTTCATTTTTTGTTTTTTTAGTTAGAAATAACGTACTATGAATCACAGCTGAGTTAATAACCAGGTTTTCCATCACCAGTGAGAAGAGCTCCACTGCTAAAAGCTACTGACAAAGATGATTTAACGTAGTCAGTTCACTTTAAATATTCCTTCTTCTTTTAAGGACTCCTCTAGTCTGAACGTTACAAGCTAAAGACATTTTCATGCCTCTGCAAGTTGATTGAAATGAAACCAAAAGCGACATGGAATGATGAAAATCAACCTGAAAACATATTGTTTGATATAGAAAATAGTTAGCAGTTGGTAATGGGCTCAAAGAAATTCTCCCATATGGCTTTTTAACTGTCTTCCTTCACATGTTAGTCTGAGGAGGGAGAGGCAGAAAGTGACGCAGCTGACCGGACGGAAAAACATGATCCTCAGGGTGAAGAAGAAGAAATTCAGGTGAAGGAGGAAGTAGATTCTGCGTTTTCCCCCAGCTGGCGCAGGTTAAGCCCTGAGGAAATCCTGCCAAAAGTTCACGAGACAGAGCAGAAGATGTGTCCACTACAACCAGCTGGAGATTCCCTTTCAGAGGCCAGGACTGAGGTAGCCCTAGTGTCTGAGCCTGAAATACAACCACAATCTCAACGGAGTCTGGATTCTCAATCCTCCAGCCACCCTCCCCCTGGAGCTGCGCTCTTCCACCCACATCAACTACCTCTTTCCACTGAGCTTCATGCTCAGCCGTATCTTCCTCTCCCTCGACTCCCACAGCAGTTAGAAAAACATCCCCAACCTCACGAATCCCGGCCTCAACCCCAGAAGGCCCCTGCTGTGTGGGGCAGTGCTTTTGTAGAAGCCAGTATCACTGAGGACGAAAATGAAGAGGAGGAGGAGGACATGCAGGGCTGGGTGTGTCTACCTGGGGCTGTGGATAAAGGTTTCAAGCTAGTAGAGGGTAGTTTTGATCTTGGAGAAGTTAGTTTAGACAGTTTTTCTGATAATAATGATAGTCCATCATCCATACCACCAGAGGAGACTCGTTCTGGGCCTGAGAGAGGCAGCTCAGAGATGGATAAAGACAACTCTGAGCTCAGTGATGGAAGGGTAGAAGAAGAAGAGCATCTTGCTTCAGAGCTGAAAGAAAGTGGGCTGGGAGAGGGTGAGTATGAAGCTGAGGCGATGAATGAAAGGCCGGAAAAAGGAAGCGTTTGGTCTGATGAAAGAAGTGAAGAGCAGGGGAACAATCTCTCTGCTTTAGAGAGGGATGCTGTATCTACGAGGGAGGATAGCTCTGAAGTTAAAAATTACAGCTTGGATGTGGGAGATCGTGGTGTGGAGAGGACAGACAGCGTGATATCTGGGGACGGTAGTTCAGGGTTTGCAGAAAAGAAAGAGGAGGACGGAGAGAACAGCGAGCAGCCTGAAGACTTGAACGCCAAATTGGAAACGAGCGCTGCTGAAACTGAAGAGAAAATAACCTCCTCTGTCTCTCTCCAGGTCAGTGTCGTCTGGTCATATCTTCATCATTGTCGTCATCATCATCCACCGGGCTATTGCGCTTTTCACACACCTGCTGATGTGGCTACACATCCACATCAAATTCTTCTCCTGTCTTGTTCTTGGGTTATTGCCGTTTATGTTTTGCAGAGTCACTTTTGAAACAGCTTTAGGACTTTCACATGGGTCTCTGTGTTGTTGTCATGTTGGAAAATGAAAGGAGAATGGAAAAGAGAAAGGAAGGAAGGACAAAGGCAGAGGTCATCAATTAAAAGTTAACCCTGTGTCAGTGAAAAGCTTATACTCAACAACCCTTTTCTTCCGATCACTTACATGAAAAAGAGTCTGATTGTTCAACATGCCAGCAAATCACCAACAATGTTTTATAGTTTTCATAATTCACACAAAGTCTTACTTATATTTTTACATCGTTATGTAGTGAAATAATAACTTTTCCCCTTCAAAATGAATACTGTGTCAGTATCTCCTCATTAATTTGCTTTTGCAGTTCCATCTCCGGCCTTCCTCCACCAGCATTTTTCCAACACTTTGGTTTATGACCAAATACCTGCAAAGCTAATGACATTACCATCAACCTCAGCTGTACTGTGCTTAGCGCTAATTAGCAAACGTTATCATGCTAACACGCTGAACTTAGATGGTGAACATTATACCTTATACCTAGCATGTTAGGATGCAGATGTTTGCATTTAGTGCGGCCTCAGCACTATAAGTGCGGCCTCACAGAGCCGCTAGCGTGACCGTAGACTCTTCGTCTTGGTATTACAGGAGATGAAAATGGTCAAATTAAACGAGTGCCTGTGTGATTACAGTAATCAGTTCTCTTTCCTCCCTCCTTTCCCAACAGTTTTCTGTGTTACAGTGTTTTTTTTTTGCCATTGTGTTTTTTCATTTATTCTGTCTCACCACACACACACACCACACTTCCTTCTGTCTGTCTTCATCCACCATGTGCCATCTATTCATCCCCCTCCATCTTTCTAATTCCTTTCAACACCTCCTCCTCACCTCCCTCTCGATTTGCTTCCCATCCACCCTTCATCTTTTTGTTTCTCCCGTTCCCTCCATCTAACTTTTTCTCTCCCTACCTTCTTTTCTCATTCTTTTGTCTTATCTGCTTCCATGAACTCATGAATCCCCTCTTCTTTTTTCCCCTTTCCTACCTGTCCTTCACACACTCCCTTCTCTTTCTGCCATCTCCGATCCCTCCTTCTTTATTTCTCTGTCAATCTGTCCCTCCTCTTCCCTCCTCTGGGTCCATTCCTCCATCTTTCTCCAGGCTGTCATTCTGCTCTTCTACCTGTTGGCCTTCCTGGTCATCCTGCAGAGGGTTTGGGCTTACATCGGCTGCTTCATTTGCACATAACACCAGCAGGAAACACATCCATCCTCACTGCTGCACAGCTCAGGTATACACGCACCTGCTGGCTCCACCTGGAAGTGCTGTTGAAGTCTGGATTTAAAGAGTTTCACTCTAAACTTACAGCATCTGAGAATGAATCACCTACCCAGCTGATTGCCTGCTGGCATGCACATAATACAGATTAAATACTTCTCTTTATAAAAATACATAATTTGTTTTATTTTGAGCTAAACTGAATCAGCACCATTCCCCGAAAAACTGCCACAACCACTGCTTTGACTTCAGTTTCATTGTGAGATTAAAAGAAGAAGAATGTGAAGAGAAAAAAAGAAGAAGAAATTTAAAAACTATTAGTTTTATAGTGACATATTTTACTTTTTAAGGACAAATTTACAGAGATCCTCACAGAGACACAGAGGTGAAAGGATAAAGGTAATCTAAGTCAAAAACAGGGAATATTTCTTTAATTAGAAATAGAAAATAAAATACAGTTGGTGAAATAATCAAGTTAGTGCCCCTTTAGGGCTGTTTACAGTTTACTCTCGCCTCTGCTGACACCTTGTGGTAGTACAGTTTAAAATCCAGGAACTGACGAATTAACTGAATTATCCGAATATAATTTAACACATTAACAAGGTTTACAGGTTTTCTTTCTTTTTTATTCTCGAGTAACACTTAACATCATCTGTGATGCTCTGTGCCTCTTACTGCATGATGACTGTGACTGTCACCTGTTTGCATGTTCATGGAAATGTATTGTTTTTTACACTGTAAGAAAGGATGCACCATATCTACTCAATAAAACTGAGGCAACAGATTACAAGCAATATTATTAATTAAACGTCACAATATTTGGTATTGAGTAAATATTAATTAGATGAGACCCTTAATAGTTTAGAAAGATTCGATTAGAAAACTGTACAGAATTAATTATAACCTAAACAAAAATATTGAGTTGATTTGAAAAAGATAAACTCCTAAATGTGTAAATAGTACTAATAAAAAGTATTTAATTCTATATATCAATGATATATAATTGATTAATAATCATCTATATTAATCTGCACATTCATTTGAATTTAACCAGTGCCAACAGAAGTGCGGCAAGTGCTGTCCGAAATATAATATTTACATTTATTCATTTAGCTTTTATCCAAAGTGACATACAATTTCTACACATGTCAGAGGTCGTGGAGTGTCTGTACAGCAGAAATGCTACCCCGCATCCTTCAAAATAATCGTTTGACTTCGACAAATATGAATTCTTCCAAAATGTATAATGCTGTGTTCATATTATAGTTCAACAAAATCACACTACTACATTAATATATAGCCTTGCCAACAGACGCCAACTTTGTGTTGCTGCTGAGTCTCTTTTTCTGCGATAGCTCATTTTCTGTTGTAATATACCACTACATGCGTTCTTCTTACCAGCCCAATGATAACAAAAGAAGTTTTCTTACCTTAGTCAACCAGTTAAATGATTACATTCATTTGAATTCACTCAATATTATGTCTGTTTGGGATTAGATAAATATAACTCTTATGTTTTATTTAACAACAATGGGTGGATTTTATTCCAAACATTGTTATTTGAACTTTAATTAAATATTTTCCTCAAAATCAAAAACACAATCATATTGAACATATTTTACCAAATCTACATGACCACAGAGTAATTTCTTACAGTGTAGGAGGGGGTCTAAATCTTTACATGCTATTGTAAATGTGACATCATATATATATATATATATAATAATATATCATTTTGATAAATAATTTAATGAAAACCTTTTGTGAAAAAATCACGATATGTAATATGTTTTCAAAAGCAGGGAGCTTCTCATGAACATAAACACAATACGGTGTCAGGTTTTTACACGGTCTCTGTGTCATCCATTCAAAGTGTATTTTACCCTAAAGGAGTTACACAGTTTGAATGGATGGACACAGTATTAAAAGAGTAATGTTTTTCAGTTTCAGTAGCTTTAATCAGAGTTAAAGAAACAAGGAAAATGTGTCCAGTACAGGTGATAAATTCTATATTGTTAACTTGTGATACTAATTTATCTTAAACCTAAAACTCAGTTCTGTGTTTTTCTGTAAAATCATCTGCTGTCCTTCTCTGCTCCAGATGCACACTGAGAGTAGGAGTCCTGCTCAGACCAGTCCTCCTCTCTCCTCCTCCTCCTCGTCTTCCTCCTCTTTCACCCTCAGCGAGGCTCCTCGACGACCCAGTTTCAGCTTCTCCTGGCTAAACTCCCTCAACAAGAAGAAGTAGAGGAAAGAGAGAGAAGTGTTTGGAAACGGAAGTTTTGCTGTGGAGATGAAGAAAGGTGCACTTCACTCCACAGTCAGTTTCATTCAGCTCGGCACTGCACTGAGACTGGAAACGTTACGTGTACCTGGATAAAACTTCAGTTACAGTATTTTCATCAACAATCTCTGTTTTGCTTTAAATATCCATCCAGTTTAAAACATATTTGCACTTTTGTGTTGTGTGGACAAAACGGACCTGTGTGCCTAAAGGGAAAAACGCAGACTCTGTTGGTCTCTTATTTTGAAAACTTACTGAGATGTTGCTATTCTCCTTCACATTAAAAGTCATTACAGCTTTTAATTTTATTATTTTTAAGTGGCGTTAGCAGAGGAGTAGTAATACTGCAATGTAGAAGAAGTAGTATTCAGAATGATAGTAGTATTGGAATAGCTATAACAGGGAAAAGATTACATGTTTGCATCAGGAAGTAGCACAAGTATTGTTGTGTTACCAGTAATAAAAGTATGTGTTTTAGTAGTTATAGCAGAGCTTGTAGTAGTAGTGATGGGACTAATGTATTAGCTGTTACTGAAGGTGTGTCTGCAGGATATGAGCACAAATATATGCTGCAATAATTCTCAGTCTTTTAGTGTTTTACTGAAGCAAAATCTAAAATGTTCTCAACATTGTTCATAAGAACATACTGTTTCTTATTTCTACAAAAAGAAATGTGACGTTTTAACCTTTTACTGGCGATATGAGCTACTAGTTGGCTAATAAACGAGCAGTAAAGTAGATGTAGCAGTAATAATAGTAGAATAATAAATAAATAAGAAGACCCAGATGTCCAGTTTGAGCCATTTTGAACTGGTGATTCTGGATGTCACTTGCGAGTCAGTGTGGTTTGGTTTGTTATTGAAAACATTTTATGATTTTGATTTGATGTCCTCTCTCACTGCAGCAGGTTTTTATGGGTATTTGTGAGTTTGTAAGTGTGTTTGAGCACCTTTTTTTTTTTTTTGAGTGTATGGCGTTTTGAAAGTTGGTGTCTGTGCATAATGCTGGACAGAGTGGTTCAGGTGAGATATTGGTTTTGTTTGATACATGTATGGATTTAATAAATCAGATTTTACTACCCCTGAAGTGTGTTTGAGTTTGCGAGTGTATGTGTGTTTAAAACTATAATATTTTAAACAACATATCTCCCACAAAAAAAGAAGAAAAAATGAGTCTCAAACCGAAATATTTCTACGACAGCTCTCTCTGTGACGTCGTTTGGCCACGCCGGAAAAGGAAATCTCAGGAATCCATCAGCTGTTAGCAGTGAGGAACCTAACTTCCTGTTGAGAGGACACGCCTATAAAATAAAAGCATGAAAAGGAAATCGAGTTTCCTTCAGGGATCTGGCCTTCTAAACAGCCAGGTCACAGCAGTATACATATTATATTGAAATATAATAATTTATATTATTATATTCATTCAGGTGTTCTTCCCACCACTAATAATAATAATAATAATAATAATAATAGCAATAGAAAGAAGGCCAATCCCAACAGTTAAATATTTGATAGAGGCAGCAAAACCTATTTGCAAAAATGGGGAAATGTGTGCATAATTATTCTGTTCATGTTGCATTGGTGCACTACCACAAGAGAAAATGTGCCACATTCGTCTAAAAACTATAATAGTCCAAGACGTCAAAGGTTTTTTAGAGGCACATCATGAAGTGGAAACATTTAGACTACACAAAGATTAGAAACAGATTAGATACAAACTATTTCTCCTGATGTTTCACCTCTATCCTGATATGGTGGAATTGAAAGTACATTTATTCAAGTACTATACTTAAGCACAATTTTGAGGTACATGTAGTTTACTGGAATGGCAGGAGTGAGAGAAGGAGAGAGGTGATGGGAGCTGGATGATGTGATTTTATAGTGTGATTTCACTGCATTTCAGACAAAAGTATTATACTTTCTTTCTGCACTACATTTATTTAGACAGCTTTAGTTACTAGTAACTTTTCAGATTAAGATTGTACACGCAAAACATATGAGGATGTTGTAAAATAGTGTGAAGTTCTCTACCATTAAACTAATCAGTCGTCATTTTTATTAGTACTTATATATAATAGGCCCTTACATATGTGCACGTATGTATGTATTTTGATTTTCTCCACTTTTTCTTCTGTCTAATTTACCACCTATTTTTACTGTCAAACAGAGAAAATGACAACAAAACTAACTAAGCAGTAATAGTAGACTTTTACTTGTAATGGAACAATTTATTTGTATGGTATAGTACTTTTTGTACGTGTTCAGTCATAAAGTACAAATATGTTTTTGGTAATACAGCATATGAGGACAGTTTAGATTGATTTACTGTTTAAGAAGTTAAAATTACTTATAAGAAATCAATGGTTTATACTGTCACTACTAAACTAAATAGTCGTGCAAAAGTAAATAAAGTACCTAAAATTGGCTACACATTAACAAATTACAGCATTTAGCAATAATATCCAATAAGTGATGCAGTATATAATAAAAATATAAAACTTATAAGAACCCCCCCCCCCCCCCCCCCCCATCATTACTCAGGCGTGTCGTGCCACCTTTATTTTGAAATCCCCCACCGGATGTGCCCGTGTCGTTGCCGTTAGCTTCACAGTTAGCCGTTTAAGCTGAGCTGGCTGTTTTCGGGGGTTTGAGCGATCAGATTGTTCCTGTCGACGACTTTCTCTGTGTGGGAGCAGTCGCTAAAAACCAGGACGAGTTCTACACGTCAAGTGGGAGCACACTGTTCACACCAGTCGAGTTTAACTTTCAACAACAACAACAACAACAACAACAACAACAAATAAAACCAGGAGTTCCAGCTCTGTCGACTCGACGCCATGGACCCCGCCAGTCAAGGTAACGTTAATCGTTAGCTTAGCGAGCAAGTTAGCTAGCGCGTAGCTTAGCTAGCTAACTGGCAGAAACGCGGTTTGCTAACCGGACAGTAAACTGTTGTGATAAATTAATGCACAGGGAAGTATCCAGTTACTTTATCTTTCCGGATAAGCTTGTTTGTTTGAAAGTTTGATGCGTTCAGAGCGGGTAAATGTTAATAATGGAGCGGTCGTGAGGGCAGGACGGGCCCGCTGGTTAAATGACAGGGACAGGAGCAGTGAAGTGAAGGAGGATCGTGTTACCAGTGTCTCAGACTTCCCAGCGTAATTTAATTTCGTATGAGTGACATTAATCAACTTAAAACGTGAACTGTGTCGTCTTTTTTGTGGGTCACTTGAAGGCGTCCCCCGCCAAACCCGTCAAATCTAACGAGCCCAGCTTGTAAACAAAAGGACTAAAGGTAGCTAAAACATGTGATATGTGGCTTCCCTGAACGCAACACCTACTTCTCATTTACCTAAATACACACTGGACTGTCTTGTTAATCTTAATCACGCTTTATTAGGCAGCACCAGCCAGATTTGCTGACTAACTGAGCATTGAGAACAGCCGTGGTCCTAACATGCTAGGCTGCTGCTTTATCATCATTGTCACTATTGACATATTTTGACGCCCTGACCAGAAAGGTGCCTCTGGTAGGTCATATCTAGTTGGTTAAAGAAGTAGAAACTACACGAAACAGATACTGATGCGTCTGTTTTATCATTATGTAACCCTGCCTGGCCTTGTTTACCTTTTTTCTTTTTATGCCAAATGGACAGTTTTTGGTTGTTTTTCCTTTTGCTTTGAGATACTTTTGTACTGAAGGCAATAAACAAGGCATTTTGCAGAAAACACAATTGAGCAGAATATAGCTAGACTCGGGTGGGAATTATGGGGTTTAATCTTTATGTATTTTATTTGATCAAGGACACACATCGGGTCCAAAAAACATGCAATAAAACATACAAACACAAAATACAAGATGTTATTGTTTATTTGACTAAAGATATTTGCTTTTAGCAGAATAAAATGCATGACAAATCAAGATATTTCAACATGCTTATCCAGAGATCCTATAAATGCACATTAATAAACACATTAGGACTACTTTATTCGAGTCCACACAGTATGGCAAGATCTCTTACAGATAAAATGGAGACAACTTTCTCACGATATTTTGCTGCCATTTAGCCCAAATCCAAACTACACTAATAACAAAATCCCTATTGCTGCCTGTATAGTACTTGATTTGAGAAAAGTCATCTGGAACTGATTTTAATAGTAAAAATGGTAAAAATTGCATTGAAGTGATGTGACAATACTAAAATAACCATAAACTGAGAAAATGTTTAGTCTCGTTTCACAATTTATCACTCGGTATCTCCAGTTTCATTATGGCAGCAGAGTCCCTTTGGGGACGTCCTAATGAGAGTAACAAGGCTGCGTCCTGTAGTTTGTAATAATGAGTGACCATGATAGACATGTCATGTTGTATCAGGTTTCCTGTGCCTCAGGATGAGCTCTTTCAGGAAGCGATTAAGGTTGCCTACATTTGTCTGTCTTCGAGTATGACACACTGGAGTGAACTAGGGCACGTCTGTTCAAATAAAATCTTGCTACTGCTGTTTCCCTAAATGATGCTGTGAAACCTTAGAATAGGATTTTTTGGCAGAGCCGGGGACTTTTCCCTGCCTGATGCATTTCTCATGTGACCACCCTTAAGTGATAACATGAACGGGCATCTGTATCTATCATACAGGGAGAGGTGCATCATAGCGGTACCACAGCAGGAAATAGACCAGGATGCAACGCAGCAGCAAGGTTGGGTTTTAAAGTAAGGGGTGTGACGGTGATCGCGCTCACCATGCCCCAGTGTTTACAGACTAGTTGGACTACCTGGTTTAAAAAAATACTCAAAGTCAGATGAAGCAGTTCACTGCCTCTGGGTGTGAAGGGAATCCCTAACTGAAGGCAAGTTATGACACACAAAGAATATCTGAAATTTATCTTTTCCTATCCCAGGAAGAAGTCTTTTATTTTCCCCAGTACAGTTTCTGTTTTCATAGGAGCATTTTTTTGACCTGTTGCTGTTATTTCTGTGGTGCCAGTCTGAATCATTCCTGACTGAATCAATATACCTTGAGGGTGGAGCCGCCATATCTCTCGGCAGCTTGTATGTGGATGTTATTGCTGAGACTTTGGATCGCTTGTCACCAGGGCTACCTGCAGATAATGCCAATCTCTTGTCTTTTGCAATGCTATTGTTTGTTTGTCCTACTGTTGTCTGATGCGTTTTGCAATCAGTCGTGTAGACGTGGATACTGCACTGTAAAAAAGGCAATAATGACAGTGTCAGTGTTGCGTTCAGGAATTCTTTCACGCTTAAAAAAAAAAAAAAAGTTAAGATTCCACAAATCAGTGAGACTAAGATGGACGGCTCTACACTCCAAAACATGGCCTGTACGCTGGTGTGTTTGTAAGCAATGCGAGTTGTGAGTGTAGCTTTCATAATGGGTCCGCCCACTGAAATAAACACTGTTTGAATATTTGGCTATACCTGCATATAGTCTACGCCTCCAGGTTTATTTTTCTTTGCCTTGTCGCGTCCTCTGTGCCTGCTCTGACACTGCCCAGCTCCTGTAGCTGCCAAAATTAGGATGTTGTCCTCAGGTGAATGATGCAAAATGAGCTCATAGAGATGCTGACAGTGGTTTAGCGTTCAAACTGGCATTTTTGTGCTAAATTAAAGTTAACACAAGAATGGATTATGGCTGCGTTTTGTTCTCTTTTTGTGTATTCCTGCCTTTTTGTTTGGATTTGTTATTTCTGGTGCACATGACCAGCAAGCGAAAGGTTTAATGGATCTCAGACAGAGCATTCTTAAGTTTTCATCCCAGAGTGCTGGGAGAGTAACTCCTGTCTCCGCTAATTGCCACTTTCTCTTCCTGTCGGATATCTCCTGCAGGCAACACTTGCCTCTTCCTGGCCTCTGTTTCTCTGTGTGTGATATAGATACTGAGGGAGGGATCCTCTTGAGACTTCAGCTGATCTAATTGTGTATTTGTTTACGCTTCTCCATTTCACCCTCCTATTAACCTCTTCTGTTCTTCGCCCTCTCTTTCCTTTTATCCTATCACCTCTCTCCTTCTTATATATCTCTCTCCTGCCACCTCAGATATCAACCTCAACTCTCCTAACAAGGGT